AATAGTGTCTTAAATTAATTTATCAACTGAAAAATTAAATAATGATTAACGAGATATTTAGTACTTTTAGCCAAAGCTGTAATTAACACAAATTATTTTACGATATTAAGGAAATGTGCATGTATCTTCAAGAAACATATATAGAATATTCTATGAACCTTTATTTAAATATGAATCATTAACAGAAATAATAAAAATTGAGACATAATGTTGCAATATCAAAAATACCCCACGCGAATAATTATTAATTACGTTTAAAAGAACCTATTCAACTGCCACACGCATTGTTTTACGCACGATCAATTCCGCGTCGTTGTCCCGAACAAGCATCGCACTCGCGCGTTTGAATTGACGAAATTAACGACGAAAGATGCTATACGTTTGCGCGAGCAGCCGTGCTACGAATCGCGTGAACCCCGTAAAACAGTCACAATGCGCGGAATTTTCGATGGTATGACCTACTGCCTAAAATACGATCTCGAATGCCAAGACGGCGCATAATGAGTCAAAAATTAAATGCGTACCTGACAAATCCCGATCCAATTACTCATAGTCGTGCCTTTGTGTCCGAACGGTGAAGACGGAAAGTTCATTCGCGGCCATTGCTGGACACTTTGAAGATCCACTGGCTAGGCATCCTCCGCTTTCGTTTTCACCCTTTACTGCACCTGAAACACATTACACATTCACATGAGACTCAATATACGCACGAAAATATATATTCACATAATTTCGACGAGCCGGGTCGAAAAGAAACGCAAAATTCACCTCATTTAGTCTCCGGTATTCCGCGAACGCGACTAACTTCGCGATTCCACTGTATTCGATCATAACGAAAAGCACGAAAGAGGCGATCGAGAAAATTCGTCGACAAGATCGCAAGTAAATCCGGCTTCCACACACGTTATCTCACGCACAAACAATCCCCCGTCGCTGCCGGAAACGAATATTGCACGTAGGTACTTGTCGCGAACGCGTATTTGAACCGGTGAGAATTCAACTACGAAGACGGAAGGACGGTATGTCGCGGCGCGGCGTGGCGATCGTCTACTGCGCAAGCGACCGTGCACCGAGCCGTGCTGACCCCGTAGCGTGACGCGCATGACGTAGGCTACGTCACAGCGACGTCACTGTGACGTAGAGCTACGTCACGCGCTATGGGTTCCACACGGCTCGGATCGGAGCATTCGGACTTCGGAGCAGTGATGCACATTTGGCTCCCCGGCAACACGGAAAACCGCCCCACCACTTTGCCGCTGCGTGAGAGCGAGCGAGACAGCGAGTCACTCTGTCTCGCTCGCTCTCGCGCAGCGGCAAAGTGGTGGGGCGGGTTTTCGTGTTGCCCGGGGGCCAAATGTGCACCACTGGTTCCACACGGCTCGGATCGGAGCATTCGGACTTCGGAGTTCGGAGCACGGCCTCTTGCGCAGTAGACGATCGCCACGCCGTGACATACCGTCCTTTCGTCTTCGTAGTTGAATTCTCACCGGTTCAAATACGCGTTCGCGACAAGTACGTGCAATATTCGTTTCCGGCAGCGACGGGGGATTGTTTGTGCGTGAGATAACGTATGTGCAAGCCGGATTTACTTGCGATCTTGTCGACGAATGTTCTCGATCGCCTCTTTCGTGCTTTTCGTTGCGAGCGAGCACAGTGGAATCGCGAAGTTAGCCGCGTTCGCGGAATACCGGAGACTAAATAAGGTGAATTTTGCGTCTCTTTTCGACCCGGCTCGTCGAAATTATGTGAATATATATTTTCGTGCGTATTGAGTCTCATGTGTATATGTAATGTGTTTCAGGTGCAGTAAAGGGAGAAAACGAAATCGGAGGATGCCTAGCCAGTGGATCTTCAAAGTGTCCAGCAACGGCCGCGAATAAACTTTCCGTCTTCACCGTTCGGACACAAAGGCAAGACTGAGTAATTGGATCGGATTTGTCAGGTCCGAAATTCATTTTTGACTCGTTATGCGCCGTCTTGGCATTCGAGATCGTATTTTAGGCAGTAGGTCGTACAGTCCATCGAAAATTCCGCGCGTTATGACACTGTTGTACGGGGTTTACGCGAATCGTAGAACGACAGCTCGCGCAAACGTATAGCGTCTTTCGTCGTCAATTTCGTGAATTCAAACGCGCGAGTGCGACAAGTGTCTGCGATGCCTGTTCGGGACAACGACGCAGAATTGATCGTGAGTAAAACAATGCGTGTGGCAATTGAATTTTCTCACGATCGTGTCGATGAACGTTCGCGATCGTTGTCGAGCCCCGGGTAATTATTTATTAGAATAGCATACCCCAACTTTGTTATTACATTGTTATATCTCGGTGGAACATATTTGATATTATTTTATTATTTCAAATATTTCGTGTTAATTATTCAATGCGATGTCGAGAGGCAAGAAGTAAAAAGAGGTTTTTACTAGCGTGGTTTTTTTTTACACAATCTTTATTCAATTATTCGTACTTATTATCGTAGTACGCTTTGTTTTTGGCATCTCTGACACTTGTTCAATACTATATTACTTGCATGGTTCTTTTAAACGTAATTAATAATTATTCGCGTGGGGTATTTTTGATATTGCAACATTATGTCTCAATTTTTATTATTTCTGTTAATGATTTATATTTAAATAAAGGTTCATATTCTATACATGTTCCTTAAAGATACATGCACATTTCCTTAATATCGTAAAATAATTTGTGTTAATTACAGCTTTGGCTAAAAGTACTAAATATCTCGTTAATCATTATTTAATTTTTCAGTTGATAAATTAATTTAAGACACTATTGTTACTGCAAATTATCTGTGTTTCAGAAATTCTTTAAACTTACGTATAACGCCGATCATGGCTCGATAAAATAACATACGAATTATTAAAAATAAGAAACATAAAATAAGTTTCAGAAACTTAATTAAAATACAAAATTGTAGAAATTGGTAAAAAGCAGATACGACTTGTTTAAAATAAAAAATATAAAATAGTTTCCGGAAATTTATATAAAATATTAAATAATAAAAATAAGTCAGAAGTGTAGTTATTTCAAATAATGAATATTACTCGTATAAATAATTCTTTTAATTTTTTATTTAAATTGTATACTTTAATTTTCGTCGCTTTTGCAAGTATATAAAAATTTTTTAATGGTTCTTAAATATATCTTGACATCTTAAGAAAGTATTTGTAAAGTATTTGTAAAGTATTTGTAAAGTATATTTATAACAAATTATATATAAATTGTCATAACTAAATATAGTTACAAAATGGGACGTATGTACTTTTTCATACAAAAATGTAATGGAGATGCGAAATTAAAATTTGTTCGTTCAAGGACCCATTAAACTCTCCCTCCTATGGATAGTCGGCACGCTTCTATTATACTGTGCTTCTGTTCTGAGTATTTAGTACAGAGACGAACCACATCTACTTTCGACGATACGATTTTATCGATAGTGTCAATAAATGTATATAGTCACGTAGTTCTCAAATTGATAATGGATGTACTGGCGGTGGTGTACGGGCGATTTCGACGTAACAGGAAAAAAATCCGCATGGGCTCTCTTAGGTTTTTCTCTGACGGTTATATGGATGCGTTCATTTTGTTCACATAGAGGCGCCAGTAGATAAGTTCCATTTAAAAACGACATGTCACATCCATTGACGTCACTTCCATTGACCCTAGTAGCTGCTCGTAGCGCGTAACAACCCCAACGGTGAACGGGCTATTACATTTACCGGTTTTCAGCATGAAGATAGCTATTCATCCATTGACAGCTGATCCTACGGCAGCCTGGCATGAGTTATCTGAGCATCAGAAAGTTGTAAAAATAAATGCTAAATTGCCGACGACCGAAGCACCGAGCGACAAAGTATGTCCAACGATTTTTGACAATTCCAATCTCTATACGAAGAAATATGTTTGTGTTAACCTTAAAAGTCACCTTCACTCGTTCTATACGTTCAAAGTTGTTAATTATACGTTTGAGAGGAGAAAGCAGAATTTAAATTGTTAATTTCTTATCCGATTGTCAATATATATGCTCATTAATCGCAGGGTTAATCGTGATTTTCCATTTTAGTTGCGCGTGGTATGTATGAGCGATACACACTCGCTCACACCGTTCATAAAGTTTGACGTACCCGCGGGAGACGTCTTCATTCACGCCGGGGATTTTACGAAATGTGGTAGCTTGCAAGAGGTCATAGAATTCAATAATTGGATAGGTAAACAAAAAATTATTGTGTGTGTACACTGTAACGTTTATATGTTGAACAAGAAATACAAATGTTGAAAGACATATCTTAATTCTAGGTAATTTAACACACAAACACAAAATAGTTATAGCTGGGAATCATGAACTTAGTTTTGATCCTACATTTACACATCCATTTTCCGTGCACACCAGTGGAGATCATCAAAAACATACAGGAACCAGCATACTTGATGATATACCTACCTTGGGTATGTCCAAGGATACTCTCGCGGAAGCTATTAAAACTACTAATGTTAAAGATTATTTGACAAATTGCATATATCTTGAAGATTCTGAGATTATAGTGAATGGGATTAAGATATATGGTACTCCATGGTAAGCATTGCCATATCAATTGTATTAAATAATTTGGTTAATAAAAGTGAACATGTAATGTTTGTATTTAATTAAATAAAGATGAAGTTGAAATTAAATTGAGAGAGAGAGAGAGAGAGAGAGAGAGAGAGAGAGAGAGAGAGAGAGAGAGAATAGCTTGTATTTTTGCAAGAGCATTTTTATATTTTATGTTTGAATACTTTAAAACTAAATAATACATAAAATTTATTTGATGTGTTTCTTAAGATTAGTTGAACCATTACGATTGTAAAAAAAATAAACGCATGTCTTTTTTGAATACACTATGCGAAATATTTGTAGAAAATAATTTCAGGTATAAGAGATTCTTATTTCTGAGGGACATTTCGTTGAAACTTTAGGCAACCAGAGTTTTGTAAGTGGGCATTTAATGTGCCACGTGGAGAAGCGTGCCTCTCAAAGTGGGAAATGATTCCATCTGACACAGATATCCTGGTAACACATACTCCTCCTGTAGGTCACGGAGACCTGTGCTGTACTGGAGTACGAGCTGGATGCGTCGAATTATTGTCGACAGTGCAAAATCGCGTAAAGCCCAAATACCATGTATTTGGTCATATACACGAAGGTATTAATGATAATATATAATTGTATATATTTGTATTAATATGGGAGATATCATTTTACCCATCTTATGTATAATTTTACAGGATACGGCATATCTTCAGATGGCAAAATAATATATATTAATGCATCAACATGTGATATAAATTATTTGCCAAATAATCCACCGATAGTATTTGATATAACACTACCTTCTGGTATAAACAAATCATAAATCTTCAAACGAGATAACATAAATGAATTTGTCATGCTACTTCAGAAAGATATTTCTCACGAGCTTAAGAAAAACCATTACATGAGTGACGTATAAAATTAGATAGTAACCTCTTGCCTTAATTTTTAAATCAGGTATGTGTAAACATTTCTATTGTATAAGTATTAACTAGCATTTCTTTTTCACACGCGATTTGTAATGTCTCGATAATAATAAAAAATATAATCCAATTTGTAATCTCTTTCCTAAATAAAAATTAATTATATTGTCCATATTTCTTTTACATATAAAATTTTCATCATCTATTTTCAATAAGAGATACTCGATATTTCATTATTCTCGTTAAAATGAAAGAACGTGTTATTGAAAATATAAAATTTTAGGGGATTATATATGCTTTATGCAATTATTACTAATAAAAAAATCACTTATATTTTTTTATACATTTATTGTAATATCCACTCGAATAACAAATGGCACTATTAAGAAAAAATTTGCAATCGTCACCATAGCCGTGTCAAGCTAAATTCGCATAATTGATCGAAGGCTATTTTAAAGAATCAAATCAGAGTTCGTATCTTTATCGAACGTTGTAAATTATCTTGATTTTAATAAATTATTATCCTAAATTGTTATGCTTGCATTACAAACACTATCAGTGCCATTTTCCTATCGTGTACATCATGATCGCAACGCGTTGGACACATTTTAACTAAACTACGAAAATTTAAGCTATCTTTTACATAATGTATGAAAAATTTATATATATATATTGCAGATCTAAAGTTAGTTCATTTGATATTTTCCCTAGCAAATTATTACATGACTATTATGTGCATTAAAGACACATTTTAATCATAGTTTACAAATATTTCAATCCATTAAAAATTACTAATAGTTATTACAACAGATTGATCTGTCTATCATTTTGTGTTAAATTGAGACTGATAAAAAGAATAATGTCATAAGTTGAGCCCAAATTGCAACTTTCTTTGATTGCAACAAAATTCTTAAGTATTATACATCTCTTTTACTGTTTGGAAAAATTCGAAGAACTATTAAGTTAAAAAAAACATCTTACACACATCTAAATCTTTAATCTTCTAAAAGTTCGTGCTTTTTATATCGATTAATCGTGTATTTGCTATTAGAGATTTATGAAAAAATAGTATCATTTTAATTTGGAATTATAGGACACACAGAATATAAACCTAACTAGCAGGTAAACGAAGTAGTTTTTAACTAACAATAACAATAAACAAATGTAAAAAGAATATGCTCTTCTTACATAGTTTAAAGTAAATTACGGAAGATTTGCATCTAATATGGTACGTTTGAAAACAGGTACGATACAGATTCACCATTATGTGTCCGCCTCACTGCTTCGGCAAACATCATCGAGACATCAATACACTAAAAAAAGATAAAAGATAATCAGTCCTCTGTGTCGCGATTAAATCTGTATAACACCATTGTTACCGTTATCGCGATAAGCATTTCATGTCAGTTTCTCTAATGTAAGAAATATATTTACCTGAATCTTTGGGCAATCTTTCATGTGACCATCTTGAGGGATAGTATTAGTCACTACCACAGCCTCGAAGCAAGCATTGTTAATTCTACTAATTGCTGGCCCACTGAAGATGCCATGTGTAAGTATCGCATAAACTTTCGTGGCACCAGCTTCCAACAGCTTTTCTGCTGCGTGACAGATGGTACCACAAGTGTCAGCCATATCGTCTACAAGAATAGCAACTCTGTCTTTAACATCACCAACCAATACCATACTGGCGACTTCATTCGCTTTCTTCCTTTCTTTATGTATGAGCGCAAATTCGACATTTAATCGGTCTGCGATAGATGTGACTCTGCAAAGTAAAAATAAAATAAAAGACGATCAGTGTATTTCTTCTCGACTGAAATTTCTTTTTTATTATTATTATTAAATATTCACCTTTTGGCACCACCAGCGTCAGGGGAGACAATGATACTATTTCGCCATTCAACGATATTCTCTTTAATCCATTTGAGAACAGCAGGTTCGGCGAATAAGTTGTCTACTGGGATGTCGAAAAATCCTTGTATTTGACTAGCATGCAAGTCCATTGTGATAATGTGATCAGCACCCGCCACAGAAAGCATATTTGCTACTAATTTTGCGGAGATTGGCGCACGGCTCTGTAAAATACATTTCGATAGATCAGTTTTGAGAATTTGTACGAGTCCTTCAAGTCCATTTGCAACTGGAAATATCCTGTAATTTAAAGAAATTGCTATTAAAAAGTCCCTTAAAAACATGAAAACATTTGAGAAATAGGAAAAAACCAATTACCTTTTAAACTAAATAAAAATTTAAAAAAATATGTTAATTTATATCGCGGCTGCCTATATCGGCTTTTGGAAGATACAATATAGTTTATCAAATATCGGAGATGATTGCCAAAAAAGATTTTTTTCAGAGGGGACAAAATATGAATATAATGACTATGTACTAAAATATTACTCTTCTCTCAGTAGATATAAATATATTCATAAAAAAAATACAGGGAAACAACGTTGCAAATGCACCCCAGTTAGACTCTCAACAATTATCATAAGTAAAGCAAAATATCTAACATTATGAACGCAAAACAGAACACAATGCATCTCGGTCCTTTGCCCTTATGTAGCAAAGGATAATTTGAGATGAACAAGAGGGCAAACATTGGTGACAGATATGTAATATCTACATAGATAAGTTCACAAATGTAAAGATATATATACTCTAAAAAACAAATATGTCAATATCGCGATTCTGCATTTCTAATATTATATCTGCAAAATTATATATAAAAAAGAATTTACAGTTTGCAAATTAAAATTTATCTGTATTAGTACATTGTCTTTGATATGGAGAGATGCATTGTGCAAAAATGGATGGAATATTTTTAGTAAAACGTAGTACTTGTGTAATGAGTATATAAGGTTTTATAAAAGCTATTAATAATAATTTTTAAGTATGTACTGTCAACAATTATTGTATCGACAAGACGAGTTATCACCAAGATAACACATTGACATTCCTATGCTATTTAAGCATTAATAGGATAGGCAATATTTGATTAGTACACTTGGACAATAACACTGATTTAAGCTTCAATTAGTACCCAATGAAACATATACATGTGCGTACCCCACTATACTAATGTAATTGCCAACAACGTACTGCTATTATATTAATATTTTGCCCTCTCATTCGGATATCAATATGCTTTGACCAAATGTCTCATTCATTCATTCATTCATGGGGACACCACTTATGTTTGTATAGCAACGATATTATAAGTTTGGTTAGTCCTACAAAGAAAATTCTTGTCTGAATTCAAAAATAATATTACAAATCTCTCGAATGGTTCATCGAGTTATCATTACAAACGCTGCACTCGACAATCTCGTTGCTATTATACTCACTGTAGACAGGTCAGGCGGAATATCCTGAAAATACCCAACTAGTCAGAAACTTAAACAAATATAATAACTTTTTCCTAGCAAATATTATAGTCAATAATAATTTTTCTGATATCTTTTCATTTTCAATAGGTAATCTAAAGATATAAAGGACAAATGATATGACTGATAACTATTTAAGAAGGTGATGGAGAATTTTTAATCTTATATTGTTTCCATGCAGTCCCCAATTAATATTATTAAAAAGCGCCCATTTTTGTTGTACATGAACATATAAAAATGTAATTAGTAAATAAATATTAGTACCCATAAACTTTTAAAATAAATACAAAATAACAAAAAAATGTAAGAAATATTATTCAGAATATAGTAAGTACATATTTAATGAAAAAATTAATAAAATATAAAGTATATCAGAAATTGGTTAATGTGATTATTATTACCGTGGCAACAAAAATGTGCAAAAAACTTCCCTTGGAGAAATCTAGCACGAGTTTTGCAACAACCGTTTAGGTTATCCAACTTTTGATAACCCTACATCATTATAAATAACATGCTTGAAATGCATTTGCAGTGCTTAAAAATTCTAAAATATTTACTATTTGTTTCATTACAAACTTCCCAATTACGTCAAGTGATAAAATGTAATATATGAAAATCATAATTCTCTCTATGTGATATTATAATTATCTATAGTCTTATCTGTATTTCAAGATGATACGCATGTATTGATACTAAAAGCAATGAGTATTCAAAATGAAGCTTTATGACTAGTGAATAAACCTGATTGAATAACGAAACTTGTAGAGCTTAACTCATGCTCGATTTTTTACAAGATTTAAATGGAATAATTCACTTATAATATAAATGATATATACAATTCACTTATAGTTACGATATGAGTTTTACAAGTAAAAAATTACAAGTTTCATTTATAATTCATGCATTGCTTGCATATTAAGTATATTATCCCTATATAATTAATAATATATTTCCCTTGTATACTTCAACTATGTGCTAATTTCACCATTTGCTTCACACAATATGATATTTAAAAAAGATATTTTTTTTTATATCATACATTTCGAATATTTAAGATAAAATTTTTAAGTCATATATCATTTATATAAAAAGTATCTGTTCCTATTTCATATATATATATATATATGCACACACACAGTCCTTAAATATTTGTCATAAAGTCATAAATAGAAATAACTAGCCAATATAATTTCAGTTACTATTACAGCCCTTTTACAATAAGCCGCAAGTCAGAAGTTCTAAGCGATCTTAAGTCATAATCGGTGAAGTTGGCCAATAGCCAACTTGAACGACTTGGTTAAGACTGGTTAAGACTTCTGACGTTCTGACTTGCGGCTTATTGTAGAAAGTCTATTGGAAATTAAAATTCTCATTAATTTTGATTTTGCCTGACAGAGTAGAACATAGATATCTTCTAAAGAATGTAAAAAAAAGAATTTACAGTAATCAGCGAATGGTGAAGATCCTGTAATCTAAGTGTATTATCTGATGCAGCCCAGTAACATAAAGCCGACAGAATACAAGCATATTTCATATGACGATGAGATCAAGTTTTGCGTTCCAGAAATGATATTACTCCATTGGTCTGTTGCAAAGCTATGAAAGAATTAATAGAACAGATAAAAGGACCGCCGCAAGTTACCCTGAATTTCCACTCGTTCGACTTCATGACAATCTGATTTTTAGAGTCTCCACCATCACCGCCCTGTGAAGATATAGCACATTAAAGAAATATAGAGTTTCTTCAAGATAACGTTTTCTCCGTTATCATGCTTGTTGTTTTAACTATCAAAAACTTTAAAATAATAATTAAAAAATAAACATAAGATTTTATACAATATAAATAAAGTAGTTGAATCTGTATCATATATTGTGATTGAATATTTTTAGAAAAAAAAAAAAGAAATACTCAATTTGTAATTTAACAAAAATTTGCTACTGATGTGAAAGAAGTTTATTTAAATAAGATTTAAAAAAATGTGCTTCTCGATCAAATTAGTAAATCACAACAATCGAAAAGATTTTATCAGATCATATTACATGATGGTATAAAATTCGAATTATATATATTAAGTACATATGTCCATGAGACACGTCTAAATCCTGTTTAAAAAATTGTCATCAGTTTATACATATGTTACTTAATGTTTTTTGAAAGCCACGCCGATGAAGCATTATATAAGAGGAAAGATTAATATTCACAAGTATCTATTTATTCAGAAATAAATAGAATGTAATTATGTTAATTTTCAAAAATGTACATTAGTAATAATTAAAAAAAAAGAAGAATCATTACAGTTATGATACATATACAGTTTTACATACGTATATACAAATATATATGCCGCAATGATTATCTAGATATATGTCTCAGTTATTAGAATGTCTTAAGTATATTATAGCTATACGTTATGAGCAATGTATAAATTTTGAGGTATAAAACAGAACTGCTCTCCAACTATATATAGTTTAGTGTTTAATAGGATGCAAAATGTACTTATCATTTTATGAAAAAGTATATAATAAAGATACAATTATTAAAAATATTTTCAATAAAATCAAAATTTTTGTACAAATTTTCTACTATAAATGTATGTAAATATATATATATATATATACTATGTATCACATATTTACTTACTATTTATTTCTTACATCAATAAATTATCTCATATATTATATTATAAAGTTGCTTAGTGTTGTGTTGCTGATGCAATCTCAATGAAAATAAGCATTACCCTTAAAGAATGCTTTACAGCAGCACGTAACATGTCTACTTATTTCAACATGACACTAATTTACAGAATACAAATATATAGGAGTAAATAATGGAGCGATTATGCTATTTGTTTCGCCTACCTTGTCTTTTTTGTCCTGCCTCGCATAAGGAAAACAAGGTATCACCGCTGTTACTCGGGATGCAGAAGCAATTTTACAAGCGTTGATCATGATGAGAAGTTCCATAAGATTATCGTTCACCTCGCCGCTTCCACTTTGCACGATGTAGACATCTTCTCCACGGACGGATTCTCCTATCTCCACGCTAAACATTATTAAATCTTGCGTTATTACCTGCAATCTTACAAAAACAGTGGAATATGAATGAGATTCTCGATTAGATAATTTTTTCGATAACTAGAAAGTACAAACTAAAACTCGGAGTTAATATCTGCAAGATATCGATGCGTACTGCTTAATGTAAGCTGCGGAAAAGAAGATTTTTCTCGGCGAGATTTTTCTCGTTTATTATCATCTGCGACGTGATGGTCGTGATCTCTGCGGTGGGTGCAGGCATTTTGCGAGCTCAGAAGGAGCGAATCTGACGAGTGCACGCGGCTCCGCACATTGTATTCGTTTGGAGAAACATCGTGGCGCGGATCGACGCACGCGGCACGCGTCCATCGAGTTAGAAAAACGTAGGTTTAGAAGTGTCGTAAAGCGATCAGCGAGGTGAAGCGAGATTGGGCACGAGGGAACAGAGATAGGTAACGCGGAGGAGCGTTGTTGATAGCGTTATCCTGCGTATTGTGAAGGAATGACGCGGAGGCCGTGCGTCGCGGAGCGTTCCGGAGCGTTGCGGAGCACTGCGCGGAGGAGGAATAAGGCAGGCTAGAAGGAGAATGCGCGAAACGCGACGGCGTTCGTTTGGTTTGGTACGACGAGGTTCACCGTGTGGGAATCATCCTATCACACAGTCCACGCGCGACGACACGTGGTCTTGTGACTGACAATAAAAACGTGGTTGCGGCGTGGTAGCGACCATTACCATGTCTCGAGGTTGCTGAATTTCTTGGTGACAACCTTGCCGATGTCGATGCCGAGGCGGTCGACGATCCGCTGGGCGAGATCCGGATGCGAGGTCCCGCTGAAGACCTTGATGTTGGGCATTCTGCTCTGTAAGACTCGCGCGCGTGAGTTTTCCAAGTTTGCGCGTAACAAACTCTTGGCACGTACTGGCTGCGACACAGGCATCACTACAACAGAAAGCACCGGGGCGGTCGGCCAATCGGTGATCGCGCGCGCACCGGACGTGACGTCGCTGCATCACGCTCCGCCTACGCGCACGCCGCATGAGGGTATTGGGATTGGGACTTTGGGACTGGGTATATCTACATCTACATCTATATCCATATCTTGCAGTATTTGGCAATTAGCGCGCTGACGCAGCGGTTGAACGGAGCGGGGCTTCGTTATCACTTAACTTATAGACACTTATTCCCTCTCTCTTCATCTCACGCGGAAAATAACCATCGTTGATAAACGGTTTTATTGAAGATATGCTTACGGCCGTCTTCCAAACTGCTTGCGTAAGACCGGTATCAGACTACGCATTCAAATCGAAAATTGAGACTGAAGATTGAACTTTGATCAATCAAAACGAAAGAAGCTAAAATTTCTTTGTTCACATATCGCTCAAATATCTGAATTCTGACCTTAATCTTACAAATGTTTACCTATCGGATTGTTTTTATTCTCTATAGCAAGTATTACTTGATTAAATTTTAATTAATATTTTCTTATATAATTGTTAAAATAATATACAATATTATATATATTATTATATTTGTAAATAACTATAATAATTAACACTCAATGTGTGACATTACAACAAAATTTAAGTTACATCGAATTGACTAACTGTATTTTCTATACTGAATATTTTTTGTGAATATTTAGATTTTTAAATAAGCAAATCAATAAAGCTGTGAAAATTATATTTCACATTATTTTCGATCTTACATTAAAATCCTCAATTTGGGAGAAAATTTGGGACGCGTCTCAAAAGGAAAATGAGACGAAGAGTTTAAAAATGAGGACTGTCCCTCTTAATTCGGGACGGTTGATCACCTTACTTGACCGATTTCACGACAAGGTGGTCTCGCTCGTGCTTCCGCCAGTTCCACCAGTTCCACCCCTCGCGCTGATAAGGTACTTTAATCCGCGAGCGGAACATGTTGGTCGCATACTCGCATTCGTCGCACGTGTACACGTGCCGCCTTGTCAATCTTGTCATCCCGCGGATCGGAGAATTCGGAGATCGGGGCGCATTGGCGCAATAGTGTAAATAGCGCAATTGGGCGCAAATGGCGACACGCAGCCAGAGCCAGCGGTGAGCAGTGAGTTGAGTGAGTGGGCTCATGGGCATGGGCTGCTTGGCTTGGCTTGGCTTGGCTTGGCTTGGCGCGACGTGAATCTAGACGAAATTCAAAAGGGGCGGGCGCGGAGAGAGAGAGCGAGTGCCGAAGTGCCGACTGCCGAGTGATAGTCAACTTTTGCACATTGATGTGGCGCCGCGCCGGTGGCTACCGGTGGCGATGAGTCGAACGACAAGTCGCGTGTGTACGTGCGCGGTGGTGCGCGGCGGCGGCGTGATTTCGTAGATACTGCCGTTGCAACTGGGTTAGGCGGTTAGGGTCTAGGGACGTTAGGGACGAGTCCGGGTGAACGCGAGCGAAAACTACGGATTTGGGTGCAGGTGCACGGGATTCGTCGAGTCGCATTTCGCATTTCGCATTTCGCGACATTCACGTGGAGGACACTCTACGCGCGACGCGACGCGACGCTACGTTTACGCTACGCTACGCGACGCGACGCCGCCAACGTGCGAGGAAACGCGTCGCAGGGCACGAGCTCGCTCGTTCGTCCTCGTCCAAGTGACAATGACAACGTGCTAACCGTTTTAGGTGATTCGGGAGCCATGGCGAACATCGCGGCACAGCGAATCAAACGGGAGTTCAAAGAGGTTATAAAGAGTGAGGAGGTGAGTGAGCGGGCGGCGTAGTGTCGACTGTCGAGTCGGTCGAGTCGACGGCAGCCGGAGCAAGCCAGAGTTCGCGCGTACTGATCCTCGCGATATTACTGGATATAACGCAATCCCCGCGATCGGAGATTGCTAACACGCGGTCGTCGACGAATCCAGACGAATCCGCTCTCGGCAGGCGAAATGTGACAGGAGAGCCTGTTGCTCGTCGCGCAACTCGCAAATCGCAAATCGCAACCCAGTCCTCGACACCGTCACTCCTACCTGTATTTCCTTTCTTGTCTTTCGTCTACCTACTTTTAGAATCTAGATTCTGGAATATGCAGAGAGAAAGAGAGAGAGTGCTCAACGCACTTCTGTCAGTATCGAATGGTAACGCGTGTTGTAATGTTGCGATATGCTAATCGGCATCTCCTTGTCCTACGTCGAATGTCGGAAATTGGACAATCTAATGAAAATATTCTCGCTCGAGTATGGATGGCTCGAATCGACCGTGTACTCACCACGATGCGCGTGTGCAGGTCCGGGATCTCGGCCGCACTGGGAGGCTTTGCACTTTTTCAGATTGCTCATTTCTGCATTCCCTCGCTCGCATTTAATACGTCCGTCCCCGATAATACTTGCACGTGCTTTCGGACGGCTGATTTACGCCGAGGCGTCGCGACTAAGGCCGTATCATGATAGTTTTGTATATTTTATTATGAATTCCGTTATTGCGTGAAACGATCGAGATTTCTCTTATCATGCCTCGGATGTCATAGGACATAGGTTATGATTACATGTTTATTTTGATTATTGTACCGCGAGACTCTGATGACGCGAGTACCACACACGAATTTTACGAGGGAGCATAATTTAGCAATGTGTTTTCGTCGCTTCTATTATCTCGTCCTTTTATCTATCATCACATAACTGAAATGTTTTTCTGCCTGGGGAAACAGGGATGCGATTGAAAAACAAGTGTCGCGTACATTATCAAAACTATCTGAAATATTCCTGCGCTGCTACCATTTCTTAATGCTCAATTGTTTTCTTTGAATAAACCGCTTTGTCTTTACTTTTCTAATCATTTTTGCTATCAATTTGCTCTCCAAGGTTGCGATTTTTACAACTTGATTGTTGTGTTGCTGTATAAAAATGTCTATATGCCTTCCAAATATATATAAATAAAGTTGTAAAATATTTTTATGTCCTTGTCACAAACCCTTAATAGATTTGATTTCTAATAAATTAGTACATATTACAGTTTCGTCACAAACATATTTATTCATTAATTTGAATTTAAGTAATCTTAACACTTAAATTACAGATTTATTTTTTCTTCATAATGTAACGTATCTTACAAGTTATTTCCATTTTGCTTAATCATGTCCATATGTGTGTGTGTGTGTGTGTAGTTGTTTACAAGTTTTGATACACTGTACGTCCAAGTTGTTACATATTACACATTTATAACATATTTATAGCAACTTGGTCATCTAATACTTTATTTATTTAATGTTTGTAATAGATAGCAAAATGTGCGATTAAAGTAGAGTTGGTCAACGATAGTCTTACCGAATTAAAAGGAGAGATTGCTGGTCCACCAGACACACCATACGAAGGTGGTAACTTTGTGCTCGAGATCAAAGTTCCCGAGACGTATCCATTTAATCCTCCTAAAGTAAGTTCATAGTTTTAAGAATGTAAATGTAATACTTGTGTAGCAAGCGTAGCTTCTAAAAAATGTCTATTATCTTTCATTACAGTATAATAATATAACAAAGTTAATACTATAAATCTTATCACTTTATTGATTTTCATAAATTGACAACACACATATATTATTAATATAATATTATGTCTTCAGTATGAATTTGTATACTGTATTTTAAATACTCATAATGGATAAAATAAATTTCAAGTTTTCATAAATAAATTGTCAAGTTTTGTATTATATAAAATTTGTATTTTGCAGGTACGTTTTATAACAAAAATATGGCATCCCAATATATCTTCTGTTACTGGTGCCATATGTTTGGATATTTTAAAAGATCAATGGCATGTATTTTTATTATAATTTATTAATTAAATTATGAATATTCGTATATCTCAATATACAAAAACTTTTATTTAATACGTTTTACAACTTCTTTTACTGAATGAAAAGATATTTGTTATTTATTATTTATATACTTGATTATGTATTTACATATTTTGTAAATTTAATCTTGTGACTTTGTTGTACGTAATGTAGTTATGCATCTGTAAAATAATCTCATTTTTATTATCGTATTTAAGGGCTGCCGCAATGACTCTGCGTACGGTACTGCTATCGCTTCAAGCGTTATTATCTGCAGCAGAACCTGATGATCCTCAGGATGCGGTAGTCGCTAAACAATATAAAGAACATCCTGAATTGTTTCGTCAAACTGCCACACATTGGACATTTGTATATGCAGGTGGTACGTGTATTATTCCTGCGTATATTCGCGCATTTTATGTATGTATGTATATATATATATTTTTTTTTTATTAAAATACTGATCTATATATTGATTCTCTAGGGCCAGCGAAAATGCCCGATTTAGATGACAAGATAAGAAGATTAACAGATATGGGAATCGAAGAACATAACGCGAGAGTCGCTCTATCTTCGTATAATTGGGACTTGGAACGCGCCACCGAGCACTGCCTCTTTAGTTAGTGATAACTACATAGTTAATTTATCACATCCATTCATTTTCTGCAAAAAAATTTCCTTGTAATAATATCATGTCCGAATATTGATATCATTAATGATTTTACAATTGGAATTCTGCAATTATATTGACAATAGCTGGATGATGGAAAGAAATTATCTGAAAAGCTATCCAACATTTATCAATAGTAATCTATTTAATTTGTAACGTAAGAACATGAGGGAAAAATAATTAAAAAAAAATGGTTAGAATCAATAAGAAAAATTTTTAACATTTTCTGAGAACTATACTGTTCTGCATTACATTCTGTTCAAATTCCATTGTTGCTTAAGAAATAGCATAATTTTACAACACAGTTTAAATTGATATATTCTTGATTGTTTATTTTGTACGTAATAATTCAAGATATCACAAATTAAATGATATAAATGCATAATATCCTTTAATTCTGTGTATCACTTTCGAATTTTTATTTTATCTTTTATAATTAGCCTTTGATAATTTTAATTGCATTCTAGATTTTCAATTTGTATTTGAAATATTGAATTGCTAGTAAAATCTAATACATGTATTCATAGACTACATCTTTCAAGTATAATTTGATCCCGTTTGCAGTTTCTATAATTTATAATCTATTTTTCATATCAGTGATGCACAAATTTTCTTTATAAACTGTACATAATCTATACATTTCAAGATTACATCATTTATATTCTTAATAGAAATTACATGCTACAATAAAAATATATTTCTTTTGTTCTTTAATACAAGGTACACATCTTGTTATTACAGCTTATAAATTTTTTATAGTTTTACAATGTTAAATGTTTTTAATAAAAAAAATTATGTTAGATTTTAAATTTTGATTATTTTAACTTATATTTAAATCTATTTAATTGAAAAAAAAATTTATACTAATTTGAAATTTATCATAATTATCAAATGTAATTTGGTCATCACTGATTTATGATAAATAAAACTGTTAATATACTATATGCATATGTTCAAAAAAATTAATCTTTCATTTGAAAAAAAGGTAGAAAAAGCATAATTTATGTGAGCGAATCGCTTGTATATTATTGAAGTAAGATACGACCTGTAAAAAGATTCATATACTTGTTCGCTTTGATGTCAATATTTTATACTTGTACATTTTTAGTGTTGGTTTACAGGAAGTAAAAAACTGTTCACATCATAGATATGTATCTTTACAAGTTTATATCTTGTCTTACTTGTTTTTGTATTTGTGTTGTGCCGTGTACATTCCAGACTCAGGTGTAAATGGCATTTATTTAACGGCCTCGATTCGATTTTACATAAAAATATATAATTGGAGAGAAAGGTTCAAAACAGATTAAATTTATTCTTATAACAATCCTGTAAAACTGTGAAACAGCACAGCTGGAAAGAATGAAGATGGAAATTTAATTAGCCCATTATTTGTATAATAATGTATATGATGCAGAAATGCACATAGCTTTTTGTACAATCAAATGTTAAATCATATGCGTTACATAGTGAAAGGATGAATATTGAATTATAGTTTCATCAGTTTGTAATGTTAATTTTTTCATAAATCAAGTTTAAAAAAGTGATAACTAGATCAATAACTGTAAAAATTGTTTTGCTTTATTTTATTCTTTTAAATATTTAGCTCACGTGTATTATCCTACATATGAGTTTGTTTATGGATGTGGTTGTAGTTCCAACATCCTCTTTGATGTTTTAATTGCTGTAATGTTTAATAATCATGAAAAAATAAATAATTCTTTTTTCATTGTTCCGACTGGATTCTAATCTCTCTGTATACAGATTTGTTCCTTATATTTTTCTCAGAAATATATAAAAAACATTCTTTTATTCATTAGTACATAAATTTTTATGTTATTTTATTTGTTAATAAGTATTTAATACAGATTTTCTTTTTTACTGTCACTTAATAATTATGCAAATTATCCCAAAGCTGGCCAAACATAAATTTCTCGCTAAATTTCTTGTACTACATATACAAAAACAATACCAAAAAATATTTGTAAAATCAACTAATGCGATAAGTTGCTGAAAATGTTTTTTTCTGTTAAAAGTACTATTAAACTTAAATCTCAATTGTACTATGTACAAATATGACTTGATATTATAAACTATCGAAATAAATCAGTAGCAATAATTACTGAATTCTCTCGGTAATTATAGTTAGGTACGGCGTGTGGATAACAAAAATGATAACACAGAAAATACAATATAGAAAATAGCTATGCCTTTTAGGCTGTATTCGTATTTCTTATTTAAAAGAGAAAAAAAAAGATTGATTTATTCACTATATTTATATTTGTTGTTTTTTACTTGAACGTGATTAAAGATGTGAAAAAATTCTATAATTCAGTTCGAGAAAATTTTGCGATGACAATTTCTGCGACAGATATATTTAATTTTAATTTTTATACACAAACAACTTTTAATATACGCGAACACACATATACAACATTGCAATACTTACAAAAAATTTATAAATCTTAAACAAAGGCATAATGTATGATAAAAGTATAAGATAAATTTAAATAATTTTTAAATCATTCTGAACAATTAATTATATCTGAGTTGGTTGTGTTTCTAAACGTAGTTTCATAAAACTATATCCAATTTGACTATTCTATAGAGAATTCTAAGTACAAAAAATAAAAACAAATAGAAGAATAATAAATTATTGTAAATGAATTTTAAACATACACACATATATATATATATATTTCTTCTTACATCAACCAAAATTTGTACATGTAATCAAAATTTATACATATGAAACCATTACAAAGAAAAAGAGAGAAGTATGTCTAAGTCAGTCAGTCATATGTATAAAAATACTATATCAAGGATATTTTTGCATTTTGCACAAAATATGCACAAATGGCAAGGCAGATTGTGTATTATTTTGTACATTTGTACTTTATGTTTGTGTTAATTGTCCATGATTATATAACCTAAGTTTCTTTGCAGAAAGACTTGTTAAAAATAAGTTATTATTAATATTAAATGAGCATAGATCCATAATAGAATCTGACACTGGAAGATTATGCAACTTCTGACCGCTCGCTACACTCCATAATGATACACTGCTACTGGACTCTATGTATGCTGCGACTAATGTATCGTCTTCTACAGATAAATAACATGGTCGAGATAAAAGTTGTTGAGAATTACCAGCTTGGAATGTATGTACGGCATTATATGTAACTATCTCTTCGTTAGATGTATTTTTTTCAATAGTACATACTATATGTCTTGCGTGTGGCTGCCTAGAATTAGGACGGGATGATATAAGACAATGGTGATTTTTTTCATCATAGCGTACTGAAACAAAAGGCCCCTCTATAAACATCTGTTTAGATAGATAGTTGGTATCCTTAATTTCATATGTGTAACACGTATTTAAACGACATGCTATAAATCCACCTCTACTGATACCACTGCCAGGATTTGGCGGCACTCCTGCCATTGATACAACTGGTGATTTATCCCCGTTACCGCCTAAAACGCTAAGAGCAGAGGAAGTTTGTCTAATATCAAATTGGGAGATAACTCCATTTTGCGCACCGGTCAGAAAAACGTTTGGATTGTCACCCGACCAACAACAACTCCAAAGTGGATATTCTGTTTGGTACGTGTGCACCGTCATATTATTTTGGATGTCTACTAGCTTAGCACATTTATCAAAACCAACACTAAGAAGAATTGTTTGTTGCGTGGAATGAAAAGTCAAATCTCTTATAGCTTGAGTGTGTAAGAAAATAAATTGCCGTAAATTGAAGCATTCACAATCCATTTTCCTTATGCCGTACCCATTGAATAATGCGGTTGTTGACTTTTGAGAAACAGCCAGTAATTTATACCATGGATTATAATCTAAGACGCGACAGCCACCATCCTTACAGATTTCTACAGATTGTTCTAAATGAAACTTCCTTGAAGTAAGACTCGATGCACTTGGGCAAGTATCAACATTGACTTTTGATTTTTGATTTTCCATTTCGGTAATACGTTTTTTCATGCTATTTACGTGCTCCTCGTATACTTTTAGACGAATGTTAGCACAGGTTAACTCCTTCCGTAAATTATTCTTTTCAGCTGACACCTTAATTAAATCTTTTTTCAGATTGTCATATTCGGTAGAGTCAATTGCTGTCAGCTTTTTCGCATATAGCATCCTAATATGTTTCACCGAGGCTTTCTTATTGCATTGTGGGCAACGACGATTCGTACTGTTGCAAGAATACTGTAACCATCTTAGAATGCAACTATGCCCGAAGAGATGTCCACAGCGTAAACAGCACAAACGATGTTCTCCCGAGCTGGTCCATTGCTCCATGCATATTGGACATGACTGATCAGAGTCTACATCCGAGACATCCAAGTTTATACTCATTGCATTTGCTACAAGAGAATTAATTTTATTTAGTCAGACACAGTTATATACACACATACAAAGAGTTTATAGAAGTTTTACACTGCGACAATTCTATTACAGTACAATACATACTTTGTTGTGAACTTTTAGTTCCAGTATCACTTTCCTCATTATTTTGTACATCATTGGGAATAACGTTTTCATTTTCGTGTTGATCTTCTACATCTTGCCCTTCCACTTGCATTTGTTCTTCTACTCGTACTTGTTCTTCTGCTTGTACTCGATCTTCTGCCTGCACCTGCTCCTCTATTTGCATTTGCTCTTCTACATTTTCATCTGTAACAGTAATATTGCCAAATGTTTGCTGACTTAAAGTCTAATATTGTAAACAAATATAATATTGAACATTTAATATTCTTCCTTATTGTAAAAAGTACATAATTGTTAATTACATTATATTCCACAAGTCGAATAACAAATAATGCCGAAAAAAGAAATATGCATATCCTTTTTATTCATTGTATACTTACTGCCTTCCATAACCTTTAATTTTTACTCGATCGTCGACTGGACTCTTTAGACATAAATAAAGTACGTAATCTCCTTTTCCACTCGATATCTATTGTAGATTGGGACACACATAAGATTATTTAATAAATCGTCTTCTTCTCTTTTTAATCGTTAGACTATAAATTAACCGAAAAGCCGGTTGATTTGTTATGAAAACAATAGCATTAAAGATAGGGGCAGAGCAGATTATGGAAATAAGACCTGTCGATCCTTGGAAATTTGTTGGAGGCGAATTTCTATTTGATATAATTATAGTAGTTAAAATACCGAATAAATTATAATCATGAATATATGTCTGTGACAGCCTATGTACCTAATATTAGATGTAATCAGATGTAATGAAGAGATAAAAGACGAAAAAATGTAAAAAAAACTTTTCAATTTTAAAGTAACACGACA